TAGGGTAAATAGGAGCAAGGTTGTGAAATTCATTTTAAACTGCTAAAAAGACATTAAATCAGACAAGGCAAGTGCCCAGTTCTGCATAAGACAGCAGTTGCCAGTATCTCTAGGACAGTAATTGTAATAGCTATTATGCAATACACATAGGTGTTCTTTTGTATACAGGCCTGGTACTGTGTCTTGGGTTTAAGATGTCCACAACAGCTATCATCTGCTTCTAGTGCTGGATTGAAGGTCGATGTTTAGTGAACTGGAGGTGAAGGTCTTTGGTAGGAGTTACAGTCTATTTAGGAGGTTGGGCCTTTTTAAGATGAGAGATGTAAATCTATGAGTTTATACCCTCTGATTCTGCAGTACTACATGGATTAGTTAACAGTACTTGGTATGGCTCCTTCCACTGAGGTTGAAGGGAGTCCTTTATTAAATATCTTGTCCAATAGACAAAGTCTCCAGGCTGAAGATCGTTACCAGGAACCTTGTCTTCAGGGAGTAGACTATGAAAGGAGTTCTTTACCAAATCTTGGCTTTTGTAAAGATGATGAATGGGTCCCTTACAATATTGTGATATATGTCCCTTGAGAAAAGTTGGGTTGGTTATTTTGGTTCCCATACACATGGGCCTTCCTGTTATAATTTTATAAAGGGAAAGCTGATGCTTTCCAAGGTGGACCAGAGTGTAAGGAGTGCTTTAGGCCAATGGAGGTGATATCCATTTATGAACTTAGCCAATTGTGTTTTAATTATTCCATTGGTCCTTTCCAGCAGCCCTGAGGACTGGGGATGGTAGGCACACTGGAAATCTTGAAATATGGGCCAAATTTTACAAATATTTTTAAAAACTTGGCCAGTAAAATGAGTTCTCCTATCACTGTGACGTTCACAGTGGACTCCCCATAGTGGAATAATTTTTTCTAATAAGATTTTCCAACTTCTGCTGTTGCTTTCCTGCAGGGAAAAGCTTCAACCCAATGGGAAAACATGGAGACCATTACTAAAACATGTAACCTTGAGAGGATGGCAGCTGGATAAAATTAAGCTGCCATAATGACCCTAGGCCTCATGGAGGAGCTTCCCTGGATTATTCTTAGGACAAACAACACACTGGGAATAAACCTTTTGTGCCACTGTGAAGGATGATTTCCAGTAACATCATTTACACTAGGATATAATTTTATCTGGATTCCAATGTGTCAGATTATGAACATATTCCATAAGCGGCACCTGACATCCCATTAGAATAATGATTTATTATTAGGTCCATACAATATTTTAGTTTCAGGAGACAGGTATCCCCCTGTCTGTTTCCAAGTGGATTTCTCTTTTGTTGGGGCTATACTCTAGGTTTCCTTCAACATGTTTTTAAGTGTTTCAGGCTTTATGGCCTGAAATTTCTTGGATTGGGGCTTCTGGCTTTAATGTTGCTTTTTTAGCTGTAGTAATATCATATTGGTTCCCTCCATTTTTAGTGGTGTCCAATGTAGAGTGACCTGGGATTTTTTACAGTCTTCAAAAGTTTTGATTGAAAATAGTTTCTAACAGCTCTGATACTTGGTTGTCCATTCTTTATGGGTTGCCCTGAGGAGATTAAATTAAGTTGAGTGAGTGGCATCAAGGAGGGGAAGATGGTGAATGGGCACATGCAGGAGGAGGGAACAGATCTGGTCCAGGAAGTTTAGAGAGGTCGGGGTAAAGTGGGGGTGTAAGTGAAGGTGGGGAGGTGCCACGGGGACGTAAGGGATTCTGAGGATTTCTTTAAGAGAGATAGAACATCACAGAGTCCTTGGTTAGCATTTCTAAGTTGTTTGTTGGCTTCTTGTAAGGACATGATCTTCTCCCCATTTGCTACTCTCTAGGCACCATTGAAAGTAGCTCTCCCATTCTGCTTGTTTAGTTTTTGTGCCTGTGTTTCGCATGCTAGTTCACAGGTACACTAATTTGGGCATCTCAGAAGATCCCCATGTAGGCCACTGTAAGTATCTGCCCTGGTTATAGTGGTCCACTTGATTAAATATTTGCATGACAATTCACAATAAGTGTTTTTGCATATACAGGGCTGGAGTTTCTAAGGGTGGAACTTGGTGTTCCGCAGCTGTGGGGGTTTTAGCCAACTTAAGGCATCCTTCCACATAATTTAGTTTTCCTTCAGATTTGACCAAGTTGGAGGGTTTATTGGATCCAAAGTGTGCTGCGTGGGGACCTAGCTTTTCAGGGCCGTTACTTCCTGAACCGGTTTGGTCCACCCATATTGTGGCTACCTGGCACAGTGTGTCAGGGGCTCAAGGTGCAGGAGATCAGTTACGTATTTGCACCTGCGCTATGTATTCGCACCTGCTAGCTGGGATTACACCCTAAGTATGTTCTTCTAAGGGGAAATTCTACTCAGAGCCATTGCACACCTTAGGGAATGCTTCTTCCAGACACTCTCGTGAAATTCTCAGTTGCCTAAGAATGCCCGGAAAGGCTGAGAGGGGCAAGGTGCTCTTATTTCTTTGGAGAGGAAAATTCCATACTCATAAGCTAGAGGGTTTAGAGTTGGCCAAATACAATAAGAGAAGGACTGAAACATACAAAAAAAACCTAACAAGACAGGAACAAATAGACAAGACATCTAAGCAAAACAAACAACAATCACACAAATTATACAATTTCTGAGTGCTCTAAATGTAAGGAGAAATTAAGACCAGCTGGTTGTTAACAGTAACTTTAGTCATTAAAGAGAATTTGCCCTGTAATCCCAGCACTTTGGGAGGCCGAGGTGGGCGGATCACGAGGCCAAGAGATCGAGACCATCCTGGCCGACATGGTGAAACCCCGTCTCTACTAAAAATACAAAAAATTATTGGGCGTGGTGGCACGTGCCTGTGGTCCTAGCTACTCGGGAGGCTGAGGCGGAAGAATCGCTTGAACCCAGGAGGCGGAGGTTGCAGTGAGCCGAGATTGCTCAACTGCACTCCAGCCTGGCGACAGAGCAAGACTCCATCTCAAAAACAAAACAAAAAAAAAGAATTTGCAAGACAGAATCCCAACTCAGCTTCTTCCCTTACTAGTGATGAGGCTCAAGCTGAAGACTGTTCTCCACTGATGAAGAAGCAGACAAGCTTGCCTTCCTTGGAGGAAGCAAACAGAAACGCCCAGGAAAAAAAAAGGATATATATATATTTTTTAAACAGCAAATTAAACCTCAGACCCTCAAATTCCTGCAGGGAGGAGGTCCCAGACCTCAGCAAATTGTCCTATTGGTTTGGGCTATAAAGAGCCCAAGCTAGTACAAGTAGGAAAGCTGCTGCAGACCAGGACCACCGTCACTCAGGATCCCTCTGTGGTCAATCAAGGAAAATAACCCAGGTAAGTCTCAGTCATTTTTGGAGGTTTATTTGCCAAAGTTAAGGACACACACTTGGTAGATAGGTATATTCCTCTCTCCAAAAATGATTTTGAGGATTTCAATATTTAAAGAGGAAAGGGAAGGATACTGAGAAATTCATAATTTTTATGTGAGAGGGAGGTAGGGGAAAACAGTCACTCATGCCTTTGGCTCAGTGAATCTGCATTTTTACATAATGTAGATAATGTAGACAATAGAGCAGAGAAAACAATCCGATCTGCATTTGTCTCAGGTGGGCAGAGGGATGACTTTGAGTTCTTGCCTATGTCCCTACACCTGTGGAGAAAAGCTATCGATTCACATTGCCATGAAGAACTTTAACAGAAACAATTTAGAGTAAAGGTCTTGGGTCGCCAAGGAATTTCCTTGTGGGCAAAATGTGAGGGAGGTATGCAGCTTTTCATCCTTTAGCTGTCTTATTTAGGAACCAAAATGGGAGGCAGGTTGGTGTGACCCAGTTCCCAGCTTGACTTTTCCCTTTGGCCTAGTGAATTTGGGGTCCCAAGATTTATTTTGCTTTCACACAATTGTAATCAGTAAATCATTGTACTTTATCTTTTTAATCTAATTGGGAACTCTGGATTTTTTTAATTCAGGGGGAATAAAAAGTATTTTCTAAATTCATTATAAACTGTGTTTCATGACAGTTATTGTTTCCATATTCTATTTTGTAGTGATAAGAAATTGATGTTGGCAAGCTACCAACTTTGTTTGCCCAGGTGTTTATACAGTGCATTGCTAGACTAATCTAAAAACGTCAATTATCGCTGATTTGGGGCTTGTTTTAAAATCTGACTCATACTTTAGTACTTTCTAACATTTATACTACTTTGTATAATTTTTAACTTCTACAGTACTAGTTTGTCCTGTGTTTCCAAGTGCTTACTGAGTTTAAGATCATCATAAGACCCTATGAACTAGACTTAAAATACTTTCTTTTGAGCTTTGACTTGACTGTATTTTATTGTCTTCACTGGTTGAGGCATTTTAGTAGAAAAAAAAAAAAAAAAGCTTATATCTTCTCCCTATTTGTAACCAGAGCCTGATAGGTTCTAAATACCTTCATTGCAAATATTTTTAAGGTTAGACTTACTCCTGAGTTTGTGCAGTTTTTAAAAAAATATCTGGAAGACTAGAATGTTCACCTCACTGATATCAGGTGAGACCTGCTGATTCATTCCACTGAATTTGGCTATTGTGAAATGGTTGGGAGAGGAAGCCTAATTATAGTACCACCCATCCTATGCACTCATCTTTCCTCCACCTAGAGTCTGGGAACACCCAGGCCAGCAATCCTAGTCTCACTCAAGAAAATAATTAAAGAGCAGGCCACTCAACACTGTTCTAATAAGACAAAGTTGTTTTTACAATGTTAAGATTGCCTAATTAACAAACTTTTATGTTGTTAATTTCATTATGTATGGGTTGCTATTTCCTAGATGAAAACTGACACATACATGTTAATTTACATAATGTCTGTAACAGTAGGAAATAATATAGAGCAAAAATTTTTTCTCCTATCTGTACTATTTTCGACTTTGGATAGCCTAAGAGAAAAATCCTTACATGGTGATATGAGAACATTCTTCATCAGATACAGAGGAATCTTTAGCCAAGCCATACAGCAGCCTTTTATTGACTAGACATATGTTTTAGGATTATCATGAGAGAGAACACCTTTTATTCAATATAGCTGTGGTATATTTATAGCTCTTCTACAGTAAATGTTTGAACTACTAAGAGAAATGGAAAAAAAAAATAGATGACTAGTCCACAAGGATTTTAATGCCTGGAAAGAAAGATGAAACGTATAATATTTTCCTGAAAATATACGAGTCAAATTATGAAAGTTTGAAAATAGCTTTACATATTTCAGTGGAAATTTCTCTCCCATAGAGAGGCTAGAAAATATTAATCCCTAATGAAAGCTCACTTTAGATACAATCGTTGACAATATTTTCATAAATGAAGGCTCTTTAGTTTATCTTCTTTCACAAGGGAACAACATCAGGCTTAGTGCCCAGTAAGTGTTTGCAGAAGGCCAAAGAAATATCACTGCTGAGGTAGCATCTTTACCTCCAGATGAGCAAGACCAGTCTTATCAATGCTATCAGAGCCTCAAACTTGGGAAAGAATCAGCAATGGCTGCCACTGTTGAAAGATATTTAAAAGCTGTAACTTCCCTAAGAACATTACAGATAAAAACACTGAGGAAGTTCAGGTGTGAGAGAGTATCTGCACCTCAAAGGATCTGAGAATCAGAGGTCAGAGAAACAGTCTATCACATATTTTCTTGTCTTTTTTTGGTATTTTCTTTATTTGTTTTGGGTAGAGCAGTGGTTCTCAAACATTAACATGCATGAGAATCACCTGGAGGGCATGTTAAAGCCCTGATTGCTGGCCCCGCCCAAGGGATTCTGATTCAGCAGGTCTGAGGTGGAGCTGAAGAATTTGCATTTGTAGTAAGTGTCAGGTGATGTTACTGCGGCTTGTCCAGGACTACTGATGATTTTCTGCAAGAGAATGCTAGAATGGAATTACTGGAACAACAGAAAATAACCCTTTAGGCTCTTGATACGCTGTTGGGTTTCGATCAAGAAAGGGTATACACATTTATGAGCTCGCCAGGAGAACATGAATGTTCCTCTCTGAATAACCTCTGTTATTCAGAGTCATAGTTTGTTTTGTTTTGTTTTGTTAGGTCCTATATAATTTGATTTTATTTTCGCATTTCTTTGATTAGGCTGAATATTTTTCTACATTTATTAACCACATGTATTGTCTCTTATGTAAACTTTCTCTTTGTGTTCTTTTCAGTTTTCAATCAGAGTCAAAATTCCTACTCATTTTCAATACTTGACTTTCAATGCATCTTATTCCTGTGAAGTTCTCCTGACAACCCTATACGTGGCTCCTAGTTTGGGCCTCCTCTTCTAATAATAAATGCCCACTCACAATACTATGGAGGATTTCTATACTGTATCCTAATTGTTTACACTCCTCTCTCCCTAGTGGACAACGAGCAACTCATGAACCATGACTGAGTCTTATTTTTATTCTTTTCCTCAGCATCTAACCAACTAGCACAAGGTCTAGCACAAGGTCTCCATCAATTTTTTAATGAATTAATGAATAAATATATGAACATCACTGAAGAGTTGGTTTTAACTCAACAGGGACTTCATCTAGATGATGTAGCTACATTTTGTATAAAACAAAAAGGAGCACTAAGTCCTTAGCTAAGTCTATGAAAGCTTGTTTAAAGTAACATAAGTGTTAATTAGACAGTATATAAAAATTCACACTATGGAACTGCTAGACAATGAAATATTGCAACTGCTTAAAAAAGAAAACCAAGCCCTTTTCTTTCATTCAAAGAAAAGTAATTGCCTTGACAAAATATTACAAAATTATATTTATTGATTCATCTGGAGACTTTTCAAATTAACTGGACAATTATCGTAACACACCTCCCCAAAAATGTTCTTCCTCTGACAATAAAACACACATGTACTTACACGTAGAAGATACAAACCAAAGTGAAATTTCAAAAACAACTACATTTTTTTCATCATGTTATTGTCAAATTATACCTCTTGTATTCCTAATTTGCCTTTTTCACAGTTTTGCTATACCAAAAAAATTATATACATGTATCCAGCTTTATACTATCTCTGAGATACTAGAAAAACCAGAGTTGAAACAAATGAGGTTGCCGCTAAGTTGAAAATAGGTAAACATGAGTACTCTTGTCTTTGGAAGGGACTTCCGGCTAGAAGTCTTGAGACTATGCAAATGTAGCAGGCTTTGCATCTCGGAGTCCCAGAGAGAGTGTCGGATCCAAAGGAACTCCAGAGGTGCTGAAACCCCTCTAACCTCTCCGATCTGTTCTTTTACCAAAGGCGAAAGCTCTTACCTGCAAGCTGGGTTTAGAGTCTCCATTTCAGTTGCAGCCGCGTTTCCTCCACTTTTCTCTTTAGGTCATCATGTTGCTGACCCTTGTAAACTTTTAAATTGCTATTAAAGTGCTCAGTTGTGCTCTTTTGCAGCTATATCCTGCTCCAGTTTTGAAAGTGTAATTTGAAGTAGATCTTGGAACCTAAGGTCTTACTGTCTCCACAAAGCAGAATATGGCTGTAATAAGTAGCTGTTAAGGTAGATGTTATGGCCATTGTCATCTTCAACTGAGGCTGACCAAGTCCTGTGTGGGCTTTTCGCTGTGCCAGATGCCCCACTGCGCCACACAGTCAAACAGTGAACGTGACTCTACAGTAAGTCACATACTGATTTTCAAAGAAGCATAAATCCTTCCACCCAGGAATCCATCGATAGGATAAACCTTTTATAAAATGAAGGTTCTAAAAACTGAAAGAACATTTTGTAACCCACCCCCAAAGTTTGATTCCTACTGACAGCCTTGACTCAATACAAAAGAAACTGGACTTCAAAAGATAAAAATGAATTTTTGCTTCTTTGGGTTGTGGGCTATAGTCATATCTTGCTCTGTGTCTAGTTATAGCTTTAGGTCTCCTCATGAGGCAGCAAGTATTCCCGGATCGTGGCTGGGGAAGCCCCTTCAGCTGCCTGACGTGGTCATATTTCCCACCTCATTTCTCTGAGGAACATCATAATTCAGGCTATGCTTAGATCAATTGGCAAAGAGATGAACTAAATAGGGGCATTGATGATATAAGCTCAATGAATGAGGTTTCACCAAAAATGAATAGGGTAAGAAATTGTCCTTTTTAAGAACGCCCCCATCACATAATCATAAACGGTGGTGTTTCTACTATATTTTAAAAGACCCATACATCTCAACACCTCTCTAAAAAAATTAGGGCCACCAAGTACAAATGTAGGGACAATTAATACCATTGCTTTTTACGACTTTTAACATTGGTTACAATATATGAAATTTTAGTTGCTGTTAATAACAAAATGAAAATGCACTGAAGGGGTTCCTGACTATTGAATGACAAATCATTGTTAAGATATATCAAATACTTTTGAAAATACATATACATGCTTTTGTTATGGGAGTTAACTTTTAAGGATTTAAATTGTAAGATTTTTTTTTAAATCATGGTTCTTTGACTGAAAATGTGCCATATTCCTCAGCTTACCACGGAGTGAAAAGCACTGTCACAGGCTGGATTCCATGTTAGTGGAATTGCTGCACCAGTTCCTGTACTTAAGAGGTCTTACGAAAATCTTGTGAAAAAACATCCGAAATACTGGAGCTCTGAAAATGATAAAAATCCAAGGGTCCACAATTGAAATCACAGATAGAAAACGCAAGGCCTGGAGGTCTTCTGCTTCTTCAGAGGTCCTGTTTTTCTCCTTGACATCCTTAAATGCTCCATAGTAAGCACGATACTGTTTTGAAGAAAAACATTCCATTATGATGTGGAAAAGTTAATGATAGCAATCAATTCACTTACTTCATCTCAGTTTCTGTAAGAACATGGCAGCTGAGCTTGGAATACTCACTTTTGGTACATGTACAAACAGCTAAGGCCACTGCAGCTGATGGGTGCAAGTGGGGAGCTGGGAAGATGGGGGGCAGACCTGGGAGGTGGGGTGTAGTACTGGCCGGAGACCCTGTATGATTAAGTTCCTGAAGGCTATTTTACCTGCCTGGCTCAAGTTTCTAGGTCCCTGCCAGGCCATGAAGATCTACTGCATCTTTTACAAACAGGGTCTCTTTCCAGCTAGCATCCTGAGACATACTTTCTCCAGTTCTCCTTTCTCTCTTCTCCCTGCTTCCTATCCTCTCCTATTAGTTCTCTCAGAAATAAATCATACCTGTGAAATGTCACATGTATGGAGACACCAATAAAATGGAAGCTTCTAATCAATGTGAAGAGACAGGATATCTGACAATGAAAAGACATGAGATGACTTGGAAAAAAGGACTGTTCAACCAGTGTAAATTGCTCTACTTATTCTTAGCACAGATTGTTACCTTTTCATGGTTGACATCCTTTTTTTTTTCAATCTAGAAGGCAAAATATGTGCAAAAATATTAAGGCTGCCTTTCCTAGCTCCAACCAACTCCTATTGTCTTGATCTTCCCTGAGGTCTCAGTAGCCTCCTTGGAGCCCTGCAAAATGCCTCAAACAACAGCTTTTCCTTCCATTCAGCCAACACTGATCTCTAGATCAGCACAACCATTGCTTCCCACTCTGCCTAAGGCTGGCCACCTTTTTCTTTTTTTTCTATTACATTCTCCATGCCTACTATGATTCTAAATCCATAATAGGATAAATGGATTCTAATGGAACAGGAAGTGTGCAAACTCAACATTAGTAAGAAGGGATATGGGTAAGAGACTGGACTTTGAGGTAATCAGAGAGCATCTGCTGGAGAAGATGCATTTTCCCCATAATCATTTCCTTACGGTTCTACTCTCTTCTCTATAGAGCATTTCAGCAGGCTCAGCCACTCCAATCTAGTGTACTTAGGAAGACACCTTACGTTGGACTCAGCTGTTATTTCAATCTGGATGCCCTTGCCGGTCTGAAGTCAGGCAAGGAGGAGGCAGCGGGGGAATCTTAACAAACAACAGCTTACCCATAACATAAATATTGTCTTTCATTAAGCTTGATGAAAAGTTTGTTGGAGTATGATTTTTAAAATTCACTTTAATGCTAAATACTTAACTAGATTGAATTTTCAAACTTCCAGTTTGATACCATAGGAAGAAACTATAAGTAAAGAGAATATGGAATGAGCTTTAGAGGCAGCTTGCAGTGCCTTCTCTAAGGCACGTAGCATTTTCAGGCCGGGCATGGTGGCTCACACCTGTAATCCCAGCACTCTGGGGGGCTGAGGCTGGCAGATATTTGAGGTCAGGAGTTCGAGACCAGCCTGGCCAACATGGTGAAACACTGTATCTACTAAAAATACAAAAATTAGTCAGGCATGGTGGTGGGTGCCTGTAATCCCAGCTACTCTGGAGGCTGAGGCAGGAATGCTTGAATGTGGGAGGCAAAGGTTGCAGTGAGTCTAGATTGTGCCATTGCACTGCAGCCTGGGAGTCGAGCAAAACACTGTCTCAAAAAAAAAACAAAAACATATTTTCACCCGAATTATTTTTACCTTAGAAAATCACAGTGTCCTGGGGGTTGGTGGGGGAGCAGGGATGGATGAGAGAGGGTATGCATGTATATATTAGGTGTTATGAGTGAGAGGTCTGTAAGCCAGGTAGATAAGTATAAGCTATTTAATTGCTTGTCAGAATCCATGGAGTCAGAGAAGAGATAGAGAACACCCTGAGTGCATGAGAGAGCTCTCGTGCCTATGCCATTTTGGGGGGCAGAAAGAATGGGTGAGATGCTCCTTATAAAGGAGGCTGTGGGAAGCCTCTAAGGGACAACAGGCAAGGGATGGGCCCAGGGAAAAGGGTCTGAGGGGATTTAAAGGGATAGAGCAGAGGGAGAGGTCTGCTTTGTTACAATGCGTAGACTGGATAGAAGAGGGTATCAGAAGCCGGAGAGGGCTGCCCAGCAGGATGTCCAGTTGCAGAGCTAACAACATTGTCTCAATGCCTCCCAAGTCCATTAGAGGGCGTTCTTCTCACACTGATTCATTGAGCACTTTAAAAATACCCATGTCTTTTTTTTCGTTGTTGTTAAGACAGAGTCTCACTCTATCACCCAGGCTGGAGTGCAGTGGCAGGATCTTGCCTCTTTGCAGCCTTGACCTCCTGGGCTCAAGCAATCCTCCCACTTCAGCCAAGTAGCTGGCACTACAGGCACATGTCACCATGCCTGGCTAATTATTATTATTATTTATTATAGAGGCAGGGTCTCACCGTGTTGCCTACGCTGGTCTCAAACTCTTGGGCTTAAATAGTCCTCCTGATTTGGCCTCCCAAAGTGCTGGGATTACAAGTGTGAGCCACCATGCCCCAATGAACAATACATTTCTAATACTAATCAACTGACTTGAAAGTCAAAATAACCTAGTGGAACTGACATGGATAAATACTGCCTCGAAAATAAAATTATTTATTTTAATTATACCAGTATTATTCAGTTGTCTAGATCCTAACTAATCAAGCATTCTCAAATGGTTGGAATTATATTTTGCCACACTCCACTTTGAGGAGAAAGGGGCAAATGGAAAACAAACTCATGTGAAGCGTTTTCTTTTTAAGCCAACTTAATCATGTAACATACTGTCACCCATGTCTCCCCTTTCAGATACAGATACAATTGCTAGGTCCATTCCTTAGAAGAGTGTAAAGTCTCTAATACCTATTAAATGTGTCTTTGTGTTTTCTAGACCTTTTAAGGTAGTAGGTTGAGACTACACACACGAGTTTTCAGAGTGTTTTCAGTACTTTTGTGCTCCTAACAGGATTTTTCCATTTTACTTTCTTTTTTTTTTTTT